CCCCTCATCCTCACTAACAGGATTTTCCGAATGTTGTAAAGCTGCATCTTCATCTACCTCTAGCACATGAATTTGAAGTTTCTTGTGTTTCAAACTGTGTTCAGGTGTGAAGGGTTCATCACAGAAATAACACAACCCTTTAGATCTTCTGTCAGCCATATATTCCGGTGTCAAATTTCTAGTGGTTGGTGTTTTGGATAAAGGGTTAAAGGAGGGGTTATTAGGTTGTTTGGGTGGGTTAGGCAGAAGGGGTGGTTTGGCAGTGAAAGTTGACTTTTGTGGCTTAACAAAAGATTTGGATTGGGCCTGAGACATAGAGGAAGACTCATACATTTTTCCAAGGGAAAACGCTTTTCTAACTGTGTCTGGTTGGAATATCCTAACCACCATTTGCACCTCTTGTTTCAACCCTCCAAGAAAACAACTCAATTGATGTTCTTGAGACAAATCCACCCTGGAAACTATCGCATCAAAAGCTTCATGATACTCTAACACAGTCCTTTTATGTCTTAATTTCATCAATTCAGCCATAGGGTCTTCACAGACTTCACCAAATCTATCTAACAAAATCTGAGTAAACTCTAGCCAAGAAGGTAAATTTCCTATCCCCACCAATTTGACATATGCAGAATACCACTGAAGTGCCTTCCCCTCAAAATGTACCACCCCCAGTTTCACTTTATAATCCTCAGGAGTATTGTCAAGCAAAAAAAATGTTTCACATTGAATCAACCATTGTTTTATTCCTTCACCCCTGAATCTTGGAAATTCAAAATGGGCTAAATGAGTATTACAAGAGTAGGAAGAAGATTTGTCACCTTGATGCTTATTGCCATGATTCTGCGTTGAATAATTCTTCAAAGAGTGTTGCTGAAACATTTCGTGAAGAGAATTGTTAAGGTTTGCAACCAAATCCATAAACTTCGCATTCAATTTGTCATCTTGTACAAGAAACCTCCATCTAGCTGCTGAAATCGTGTATCAATGTTTGCAGTGATACGATCTTCCACCTCGCGAATTATTGTCTGGTTCTTGGTATTATCAGCCATGTATTCTTGAAGGAAGATCCTGGCTCTTTGATGCCACTTGATAAGGATGAACTGGGAATGCAAAAACAATCAAAGAACATCAAGAAAAAGAAGGAAATTCATGGGAAAAGAAGGAATTTCAATCCAAGAATTCTTATTCAATCAGAATGAAGTGAGTACAGAGAAGAGTTGCAATTAACAATTGAATACTATAGCTATTTACAATTGGCCTTATATAGCCACTCTTCCAACTAACTAACTAACCAATTTCCCAAAAATAGAAACATAAAAGACCCACATGTCAAACTCATAACTAACATACTAACTGACAACTACTCCTTTTTCCTTCCTGTATCATGGTATTATCATTAGCACTCTCTAAATTTGTAAAAAACTTTTAGTACACATGCTTATGATGTAATTTGTTGTTTATGTCTAATTCTTTTTTCTCTGTCGTTTTACATCATACAGATCCAAATGGTATGGTCAATTTCTCATTAATTTCTTGAACTCAATTTTTTATTTATTACTTGTGAACAACATCCTAAATGGTCAGAGAAAAAAGAAGGCCCAATTCCACTTAGTTCATCATGAAATTTTGATCACATAGATTCTTCGAAGAAATAAACAATCATTAAGAGTCCATGTTACAGCCCAAAAAATGGGAGCTAATAGTATTGCAAAATACATTATTAGTAGTATGTTTGAAATCACTAAAATTTAGAGAAATAATAACTTGTTAATTGGACAGTGGAATCAAATCCTTTTTATGCATCAGATAATAGTGGACTTGGTGAATGCTTGGACTTTTTTCCTGGGTGCATCAATAGCACAAATGGGGTGGATACATTTGTACAAAATCAAAGTGTTTGACATGTCTTGAAGATAAGCCATTCAAGCAGAAAACATGACTACTATTTTATTGGTGAATATGTCTGTGATAAGGGAAACTTTATTCCTAATGTTAAATTTACAGGAACTATTTTGGACAAGTTGGACCATGGTAAATTTTTTGCTTTCAAGTCATTTTTTGACTATACCTAGAAAAGGAGGATATTGTGGAGATGGTAGAAGAGTCTAACCCCATACAAGATAACATTGACAAAGGATGGCCTGGTCTATAGGCATTTGTCAATATTTATTACATTAAAGATACACAAGTTTAACAAATATTTTTTTCTAATAAAAACTTATTATTCTTAAATATTTAAAATCAATCTTAAGAGCTGAGATTAATGAAAAAGCTTCTGGATTTTAAAGCCAAATACAACATCAATGATGATTTCTTTTTTAATAATTTAACCTTTGAAGGCTGACGTAGAAGTGTTGTTTGAGCTACCTGAACTAGAAACCGCAGAGCACACTTCAGTGTTTTTCTGAATATATAGAGTTCACAATAGATATATAAATGTCTCATGTGCAGTGACCAGAACAGGTTATTTTTTACATTCACCTATCTCAATTTGTAGTGAATAACTTAATATAGTTTATTTTTCACTGAGATTGAATATTATCAGCTACTTGATTGTGGTTGAGACATAATAGTTTGTGTACACTTCACAGGTCTTCATTGCTGCAGGATCTTATTAAGCATCATATGGAACTATCTTTGGCATAGATCCAATCTCAGAACGGTTTCACTCAGAAGCTTGGTATGTTTACTCCTAATGACAAATATTATTCTGTGCTTGTAATCATTTACTATCAACTTAATTTGAGAGTAAGGTATAAATTAACAAAACTTACTCTCTTTAATAACTTTTTATATATAACAAATCATTAATTTATGTAATATTATCATGTCTATGGTTGAATCACCGACAACTACAGCTATAGATTACATTGTCATTTAGAAAAATAACATGGCCCCTACATTATAACATTAATTAATTGCCACTACCATTTTGGGGCGCATTTTTCTTTTACGGTTCATGTGTGGTAGGGATGGCAATGGGTAGGGTATGGGTAGGGTACTACATTACCCATCCCATACCCGTGTTTTAAAAAAAATACCCATACCCGGCCCCATACCCGCGTGGGTATGAATATTAATCCCCGTACCCGTACCCTCTGGGTACCCGCATACCCGTTTTGTACCCATTACCCGCGCTTATTTGAGAAAAAAATATTTATAAAGAAAAATATGTTTATATAACTTCACATAAGTAGCATAATAATACAAAAATTCAGTATGTAGTTGCCGAACAAGGTACAAATATAGATAAAAAATAAATATTCAAAGATCATAAATGTTAAATGTATCTTAATATAATAATTTTCTAAACTAAAATTCTTAGAAACAATAAGCAAAAACTAAACACACAAGTTATTTGTCAGTGATAATTCTATCTTGTGTGAGATTTGATTGTTGGTAATGTCAAAACGACAACGAAATAGATCTATACAATGGTTGTCCCTTCGTGTGGGATCACTTAGTAACCTCTTGTGACGACATTAACAACTAACTCTAATGAATAACATTTCATATTTATTAAGTTTTAGTAAGACAGACATTGAGAATGAGAATAGAGTTAAAGTAGAGAAGTTCAATACTAATAACAGAAAGTTGATACAAAAAATATTTTTTTTAACTTTTGAATTTAAAATTGTAAGAAAAATAATAGATTTAATTGAAATAATAAAAGAAATGTGAGTAGTTGATACAGCTTGGTTGAGAGTGTGAGAAGCAATCACATATCCATCACCATTAGTTGTATACATGAACTCAAACCGATTACCCATACAAACAAAGTCTAATTAAGTTTATTTTCTTTCTCTTAGCATATAATTCTGAATATAGCCACATGGAGGGTGGAGGTGATGGCCAATGGTCCTCCACATAAATTTGTCATTGCTTCTAACATTTATAAATAATTAAATAAGAAAAAATTGAAATCATTATCTTTGTTTCTTTTTCTTTATTCATTTTTTAAAATATAATTTTATTTATTTATTTAAAAAGTCAAGATAATATTAATTATTAATTTTAAATTATTCTCTTATTTATACCTGATTTTTAAATACTTTACAAACTTATTATGAATGAGAAAAAAATAATAACGTTACATTAGGAAGGTAATAATGACTTTAATACAAACAAGAATATTAATTATATTCCTTAATTTATATCTTATCCTTGCAAATGTAAATAAATAAATAAAACCAATTACCGATATAGCTTAATTATGTATTTTTTAACGTTTTTGAATTGAAAAAAAAATTATTTAAATATGAATTCATTCAAACTTTAAATGCAAATTTGTATTCATATTTGAATGATCATGAATCTACATTTACTTTAGTACTACTGGTTATAGTTTTTACGTTGAATTTATATTTATAGACTTTTCAACATCACAACATGTGTCTAAATTCATACCAAGTCCATGATAAATTCAGTATGCAATACGCAAGCTTATCGAAAGAATCCGGTAACTATTAACACAACTAGAGACAATAAGCTAATAGAACTTAGTAAAATAATGTGGTACCTGAAACGTATTTACACTTTTTCACTCCTTTAGCAAGCATCATCATCACAAACATAAGCATATGCATGTGATTGTCCTAATTCACACAAAACATCCTCGTACACCAACCCCAACACTAAGGAGATGCCTTGCTTTATGGCCAAAAGTTTAGTCAAAAGCAAATATGAAATATCAAGGTTTTTTGGGTGCTTAAGAAAAGTTTGTAAATTATGGTATTTAATTTATAGAGAATATGAAATTCAAGACTCATATACTTAATTAGCCACACACATAATTTAAGGTTGGAATATAACCAAGCTGGTGGAGATTTAAAATCTAATTGGTTTTATATTTGTCTCTTTCCATAGTGACAGATCTATTGGGAATATAATAGTTCTTTTTATGATGTACTGTGTATATAAAAGTCCTTGATCAAGCTTTAGACTGTTGCCATCTTGCTCTTGTTGACCTGTACCTTCTCCTTCATACTTTCAATTTCAGCATGAAGATAATTGCACAGGTACTATTACTTGTGATATTGTCTTTTCTGCTATACTGCGGAAATGGAATTGAAACATCTACACATAGCATCAAGTACAAAGTACCTGAAAAACAACCTCACCGAACTTCTTATCACTTTCAGCCCCAACAAAATTGGATGAACGGTATTATCCCCACCAAGCTTTGTGAATCTAATTTTAGCACCAAATTATGCTTTATAGTCCTACTAGTTTATCTGTTATATTACTTTTTATTCTAAATCATTTATTAATATAATCCTTTTCTTAACCGTTTGACATGTTTTTGTTGACAAAAATTGGACATTGATGTCTTCATTATGCAGATCCAAATGGTAAGCCCATGAATTTATTTGCTATCAGTTATTTATTTACCTCTCCAGCACATCATCTATTATAACTATCCATCATAGAAAATAAAAATTTCATGTTCTTTTCTGTTCCATTTTAAACTTGATCAAATTGTTTCTTTGAGAAATTAAGCATTCATTCTTCGATAAAGTGACTAAACTATAAAAGATGACTACAGTTAAGAATGTTGATTTCATTTTCATCTCTCAGGACCTATGTTCTACAAAGGTGTTTACCACCTTTTCTACCAACATAATCCTGAAGCAGCAACTTTTGGTGATAGGATTGTTTGGGGTCACTCTATATCCTATGATCTCATCAATTGGATTCATCTGAATAATACTATTGAACCAAGTGAACCATTTGACATTAATAGCTGCTGGTCAGGCTCTGCCACTGTGATCCCAGGTGAAGAAGAACAACCTGTGATTTTGTACACTGGGATTGATGATAAAAAACATCAAGTTCAGAACTTAGCTATACCAAAGAATCTATCAGACCCCTTCTTAAGGGAATGGACCAAGCACCCTCAGAACCCTGTGATGACTCCACCTAGTGGAGTTGAAGTGGATAATTTCAGAGACCCTTCAACTGCTTGGCAAGGAAAAGATGGAAAATGGAGGGTAGTCGTTGGTGCTCAAAATGGTGATGAAGGAAAGACCATTCTCTACCAAAGTGAGGATTTTGTTAATTGGAAAGTGGATCCTAATCCTTTTTATGCATCGGATAATACTGGAGTTTGTGAGTGTCCAGATTTCTTTCCTGTGTACATAAATGGCAGCACAATTGGAGTGGATACATCTGTGCAAAATCCTAGTGTTAGACATGTCTTGAAAATAAGCTATCTAAGCAAACATCATGATTATTATTTTCTTGGTAAATATGTCTCTGATGAGGAAAACTTTATTCCTGATGTCAGATTTACAGGAACTAGTTTGGACTTAAGGTATGACTATGGTAAATTTTATGCTTCCAAGTCATTTTTTGATTATGACAAAAACAGGAGGATATTGTGGGGATGGGTGAACGAATCTGACACCACACAAAATGACTTTGAGAAAGGATGGGCTGGTCTACAGGTATTTAGTTATTTAAGCTGCATGGTTATACTTAATGGGCATTTAGAGGAGCTTATGAAAATGGCTTATGACTTTCATGATTCTTTTTAACTTACTCTAATAAATTTCTTGGTATAATTTATCACAATAAACTCTTTTTAGCTTATGGAAATAAGTTTTAAGATTAAAGTTATGCCATAAGCCCTCGTGTATTAAGAGTTCATTGAATAAATGTTTAATTAAGCTGTTTACTTTAGTCTATATTCATATGAATCATATAAGGTCTAGTTTTTTAAGAGGTGATCGATGTGCAATTGTATTATGTATAATAATGATTATGATAGATCCTTTTGTTTGGCAATGTAGTCAATTCCAAGGCAAGTTTGGCTTGATAAAAGTGGGAAGCGATTGGTGCAATGGCCAATTGAAGAGGTAGGAGAACTACGTGGCAAGCAAGTCAGCATAACAGGAGAAAAACTCATCAGTGGATCAACTCTTGAAGTCTCAGGTATCACAACATCACAGGTGAGTAAAATGATTCTACATTTTCATTGATAAATTTTCCAAACAAGTACAACATCAATGATAAGGATTTTTAAATTTGAACTTTCAAAGGCCGATGTAGAAGTGTTGTTTGAGCTACCTGAACTAGAAAGTGCAGAGTTTTTAGATCCCAATGGAGTTGATCCCCAACTACTATGTAGCCAAGAATATGCATCAAGAAGTGGCATAATAGGACCATTTGGTTTGTTAGCTTTAGCTTCAAAGGATCTCAAAGAGCATACTTCAATCTTCTTCAGAATATATAGAGCTCCCAATAGATACATATGCCTCATGTGCAGTGACCAAAGCAGGTTGCTTTTGACATTCTCCAAACTGAACTTCTTGTGCATATATTTTTCTTTTCCTTTATATTGAACCACCCCATGTAGGTTGTGATTGAGACTTGGATTTTTTTCTACAACTTTGCAGGTCCTCATTGAGGCAAGACCTTGACAAAACCACATACGGAACAATCTTTGACATAGATCCCAATCTCAAAAGCATTTCACTTAGAAGTTTGGTATGTTTCTTTATTCCCAATGATAAGTGTTCTTTTCCTTGTTTCATCATGTATGTACTTGATAGTTTGATATATATTCTTATTATGCAGATTGACCACTCCATTATTGAGAGTTTTGGGGATGAAGGGCGAGCTTGCATCACAAGTAGAGTGTATCCATCATTGGCTATAGACAAAGATGCCCATCTTTATGCATTTAACTATGGAAGACAGGGTGTGCTTATCTCAAAACTGAATGCATGGAGCATGAAGCAAGCAGATATTGGTTATGAGGGAAATACATGCTATGCTTAAGAAGGATTAGGAGATTTACATAGCATTTATTTTGGAATTGTTGTATGTGAGTCTTGTCTTTTGTTTTTCCTTCTTTATCGGTATCTCCATGATTTTTGTATACGGGAAATAAACATGCTGTCTATTTAATCAAAGAATGAATTGTAATGTGTCACAGTATGGTCCTGCCAAGTTTATGATTATCATTTTTTATACAAGCCTAGATAAGATCTTGGAAATTCGACTGTCTTAAAAATGCAGAACTTAACACTAACTGTCTTATGCCAATAGAATCAAATTTATCAAAGAATGCATGACCCTAATTGCGATCTGCTGGAAAAAAACAACATTATAAGTTAGTACTTAACTCAAAAATAAATGAAATGCCATCACAAAATCAGAAAAACGGTAAGAAAATTCAAATTAATTCAAATTTATTTCTAACTTTTAACAATTCAGCTATTGATTGCTAATTATCTCATGGTTACAAATCAAAATGATTGCATAAAAATTACATGTCTTATAACTTCTAGAAAATGTATAAATATGACTAAGAAAATTTAAAAATAGTATCTGAAAAATCAACCCAAAAAAATCCTACAAAAATTCAAACAAAAATAAAAAATTTAGACCTATAATTAATTATTAATATAAGTTAATATATATTTTTATCTTTATAATTAGGCCTTATAATGCTTGGTTTAATTTTTCTGTCTTTGCTTTATTCATTGGAGCCCCAATTCTTTGTAAAGTGTCTAATCTCTGTCAATTTTCCCAAGTTAAAAGAGAGTTTGGGTAATGATGGAATGTGGGAGTGAGCAGATTAGTTTCTTCAAATGAAGTAATACATAAAACCCTGCTCCTAGAAGATTATGTGAAAATTTCCAAACAATTTTCTATCATGGTAGAAGAAATTTGAGATATTTTTGGATGTCCAGAAAATGATAGAATATGTGATTATGTTGTTAATTTAGCTTATTTGGAAGACATAATAACTTTTTTTACTAGATCTCTAAGATAATTTTTAAGAAATAAGTAATTATTTTAAAATTAATTTTTACCAAATATGTGCTAAGTGTGACAGTACATGGGCCTCTTAACAAGGTGCCTAAAGCATTGATTGTTTTTAAATTTTAGTTTAATATATCAATTCTTCATGTTGTTATGTTTATCTTGCATTATAAACGATGCTTGACATGTACGGGCCACTGTTAATGCAGAGGTGTTTACAGGTCTTCTCAGAACTTGTTAAGAGCTTGAAGCCTTTATGTGATGATGATAATAATAATAATAATAATATTGTTATTTTCTCTGATTTATCTACCAATTTCATTGGACAATATTTGTTCACACTTTAATTTATACTTGTTAATACTAATAAAATAAAATCATTGTGAAGGCACAAGAGAATACATGGGTCTATCCTTGCTTTTGCTTCCATCACTTTCTCTTTTCATGTCCTATTTATCTTTTCTAAGGTTTACGAAATGGGTTTAACTCGACCAATCAACCCTTACAATCCATGCTAACATGCATAACTCACCTCACTTAACAAGGTTATTCAAATTAGTCGGAACAGATTGAACTTGCTTGTTTTCTTTTCCCTATTTTTATAACTTAAAAGTATAAAAAATATGTAATATTTATTATTGTTTTATGAATTTGATTTTCAACATTTTTTATTTTTCAGTTTAATTAGAACTTTTTAAAAAAAAAATAATTGATATAAGTTAATCCCCCAAAACAAGATACTGGTCTACCAGAAAGACATATATCATGTATGTGCCAATTCGAAGGCATCATTTATTAGATAGAATAATTTTAAATTTTCTTGCACATTTTCCTCTAAATCATATGGTATTTATTAAATGAAAAATATTAATTATTATGTTATAAAAAAATAATTTTACTTTTAATAATTAATGTGTGTTTGGTAAAAGAAAATAAATCAGTGAGATATTAATCATTATAATAAAGAAAAATATAAAAAAATTATGTAATATTTTTTATAAAATTTAAAATACCAGTTATTTTATAAATTTGGATACGAAATTCTAAATGAAAAAAAAAAGAGCTTTGAATGATGAATGAGAGGTTCTTATCGAAGGATAAAATACTATTTGATATTTAAAAGATTTAACTAAATCAAATTCTTTATATTTTTTTTTTCTTCAAGTTATCTAATCGATAGCCTATGCATATTTTTTAAAGACGGGTGTCAACTTAATATTCTAAAAATATTAGTTAAGAATACGAATTTTTTAAGAAATCAAATTATTAGGATATATAATATTATTTTTATAACTACGTACATAAATTATTAAATAAATCAAACATTCATGTGTATGTCATCTTATAGTTAATATTTATTTATATTTTAAATTAAAATATAATATAAAAATTAATTAATTGGTAAATTATCGTTTGATTGTTAAAATTTTATAAATATTATCAACATAATAAAAATATTTAATTTATACATACATTTAAAACATTTTTTTAAGATACATTGTTGGCATGTAATATGAAATTTGATTCTCTTAAACCATGTTTGGTGTTTAAGTCTTATGAATCAAGAAGATATATATTGTGGAAATTTTTTCTCTTAATAATATTAATTCAAATAGATTTAAATTAATCAAAATTTAATGTAATATTTAGATACCAAAACAATTTTATCGTGTCATTGAATAAGGAAAGATATTGGTTCATGCTTCATTAGGATTAAAATAGAGTAGAATTGAAGTTAAATTGATATTAATAAAATATTTTTTAATATTATATAATATTTTGAATATAAAATTAATAAAAATTTAATTAATATGAATTGATCATGTTACCAGTTAGGTGAGACGAAAGTATATATATTAAATTGTTAAATAATAGCAGATATCATGAATAAGTCTTTATTAAATTAAAATATTTTTTTAAAATTAGTTTTTAAAAATGATTGATTCAAACCATTTTTTTATCCAATTTTTTACTGATTAATTTTCAGTATTAACAATTTTTTTGAATTTTCCAGATCATTGATATAATTACTTTTCTTTCACAAACCGATTAGTTGAGTCCAATTTAAATAAGAATTTTGTCAACTAAGCTCTTTAGAGTTAGGTTTAAGTACTTATAAATAAAAAGCTTTTATTAAAAATACATATTTATTATATTAAAATTGTAATAAATGTATCTCTTTTTCAATAAAATTTTACTATTATTTTAACATTTTTCTTGAAATAATTATGCATGAAAAGGTCTTTGATTAAAAAAAGAGTTTTTGTTCTTTGAAGTTTGGTTGATATTTTAACATTGAAGAGGCAATGAGAGATGAAAACCTAGAGGTAGCTGAAGCATTAAGGAACTTGTGATTTTGATGTGGGAAACTGGCTCTTTCACTTAAGGTGCCTAAAGTGTTTATTTACGCATAAACAATCTTAAAACGAGATGTGGTATTGTGGTTTGTTGTCCATTCTTTTGTGCGGAAAGAGGGATCATTTGGAGATTCTTCTCACGTTAGGCTAAAAGATTCTAAAATGGGACCCCCCAATGTTGTAAATCAATGCCATGGGCATGCATGCCAGGTCTGATTTTGCATTAAAGAAAGCCTTAAATTTTGGACAATGAAACACCCACTAACGCACTAACCCTTTTCCCTTCCATTGTGGCCTTGGTTGCAAATGCAGTGGTTCATCTCTTTGATGTCGTCACATTGCCGTCTTTTCCCAACCTAAAGGAAAATTAATTGGGTCCCACTATCTGGCAAAGTGGAGTTTGAGTTACGACTCTTCCTCATCCCCTTAATTATCACCTCTTAGCCTTCCCTATTTCCCCTAAGTGGGAAAATATCCTTCCACACTTTTCTTCTTCTATATTTTTGCCACCCTCTTTCTTAGTAATACACCAATGCAAATGCAACACTGTGTTTATGCTATTCATGTTGGCACTGATGTCTTTTTAACTAATAAATTACCTTCAACAACTTTTGTTAGTTTTTTTCAGTAAGAAAGATACTCGTGTGTAATTAACAAATACGTAAAAAGCACTAATACAATGCTTTGATTAAGAAATTACTCCATGATATGAGAGCATTGCATGTCCAAAGTTCAGTATATTTTTAAATTAAAATAAAAAAGATTATGTGTCATTTTGTGTATGATCGAGATTACAGACAGGCAGCAGTTAGGACCATACAATAATTTTTCGCTATGACTATACTTCAGCTTCTAAGATGCTTTGGCTATCAAAAAATTCAGCACTAAAGTGCTTTTTGTTTGTAGTACTGTGTAAACAGGGGGAAAGCAATGGCACTGCAACATAGTGCTAACCTTTTTTATTTTGTTTCTATTAGAGGGTAATATTGAAAGTTGATTATTTGATTCTTGGCTGATGCTGATGGGGGTCATGTGGTTGATACTTTAAACTATTGAATTGAGACCGAAGCTGAGGTGAGGTTTATGGGTATGTAGTCATGCATGTCATCACGCACCACCCATCAAAGTTGTCTCTTGGCTTGATGACAGTAATTTAAGCTTTGTCCTTGCACCCTGTTTTAGCTTTGAATCTATCTGGGCTTTTTACCTTTTGTGAATTCTAGATTCAATAATTATTATTATAATATTTGAAACAGTGCCCCACGCGAATATATTGCATATTATTTTTTTAATTTCCATTAACAAATCCAAGGAAACGATATTTTTTTATAATGGGTGATGGTTATACCACCTTGGCATATAAAATTATGGTTTTAGTAAAAGTAAAAAAAAGTCACCATCTATCATTTTAGAGAAAAAGGAAAAGCAATTTATACCTATCTAGTCAAGCAAAGAAAGGAGAATAAGAAGCAAGAGCTGGGGTTGCAATTCCATCTCCTTTTATGCAAATGATTCTTCTAGCTTGACAAGAACATCACAATGCATGAACTAATGAACTGTGCTTCGAGGGGTTATGTTAATCCCTTTTTAGAGGACAGTGTTTCACAGCCACGGTGATTAGATTCTGCAGATGTTTAGTTGTTTACGAAAGTGCCAAGGGTAGATGATTAAAAAAGTTAAATAAATTACAACAAAAAAAAGAGCCGTGTTAGAGTTGAACTATATTAGTTTTGCAATAATTGGAGGTGTGTGCGTCTCTCTCTCTATATATATACACACATTATTAAATTATAGCTTTCATGGCCTTCTTCACTCATCATCTTTTCCAAAGTAGTACTTTGAGAACACCCTTCCTTCCTTAACGGCTAAACCCCCACAGGGGACAAGTCAAGAGCAAAAATCAATAAATAAATAAAAACTCTTTTGGACGGCCATGATTGTCCCTATCATTGATAGTGGATGGTGAAGCAATTGTCAGAACCAGTCAAAACAAGCCATAACCCACCACACCCCATTCCCCTAAAGGTTGGTTGAATGAAGTAAATTGGAAGTTCGAACTCTCATTATCTCCTTCAGACGAAATAATACAAGTAATTGCCCCTTCAATGTTATAATTATTCTTTATCAAAAATGTAAAAAAATAAAAATAATTATCAACCTAGTCGAATGTAATTAACAATTTATAATGAAATATATAGATTATATAAGCTTATGAACTGGCAAAAGTGAGAAAGCTACTAGCCCCTGATTGAATAATAATTGAGAAACGGCACCCCGCACCCTCACGCTTGGGTAGAAGAACATTGAACAGAGCCAAACCCTTGTCACTCTCACCCTTACTCATCACAGATGCTCTCTCCCACCCAACACGTGTCCCTTCACCCCAAACCATTCTCGCAGATTGATTCCAACACCTCTTCTCCCATTTGACCACTCACTCCATACCCAGATAAAAACGATGGCAACAAATTTTTTTATTATTTATTTTTATATTTTACAATATTTTCATTTTAATCTTTACATTTTTTTAATAAATTATACACTCTAAATGTGACAATATTTTTTATTAATTACGTGATCACTTTTAAAAAATCAAAGATTTAGGCTTAAGTTCACATTAAATTTTTCGAGAGGAGGAGTGGTGTCTCATTTTAATGAAGTTGCTAAATTTTAAGAGTAGTAGCGGAGGATTTACTTATTTCATTAAAAGAAAATTAAATAAGTAACACGAAAGTGTAAAGAATTAAAAAAAATGGATTGAGATTGAAATTGAGATTTCATTTCATAAAAAGGATACAAAATTATACAATTAGTTATATATATATATATATTATATTTATGATAATATATATATGTGGGTATTTGATTTGATTTGATGAAGAAGGGGGTGACAGTTGATTGATTCATACCCAGAGAGCACCGACTTGGACGAGTTTGGGGACGAGGTGGCCGCTGACGTGGAGGGCGACGAGGGATTCGAGGCCGCCGATGAAGGAGCCGCCGATGAAGACGGCGGGAGTGGGGTTGCGGAGGGCGTCGGAGATCTCGTGATCTTCCAATTCGATGACGGTGGGGTTGACTCCAATGGTGGCGAGGAGCTTCTTCATGACGTGGCACATGCAGCAAGAGGAGCGCGTGAAGATTATGACAGGGTGCTCCGATATGAGACGCTGGATTCGTGCCTCTGCGGATTCGTCAACGTCGATGGACAAGGATGAGGAAGAGGAGGAGGAAGATGAGTTGGTGGTGGTGGTGGTGGTGGTGGTGGTGGACAGGTCGAGGTGAACGACGTCGTTTGAGCAGTGGCGTAGGCCTTGCATCGTGAGAGTTAGTGAAGGGGAACAGGGCAAGGCAAGTTGTTGAGTTGAGAATGAAATGAAATGAGAGGTGTTGGTTCTCAAGTTTTCATTTATAATAAATCCAAAGATTGGACCAAAATAAATCAATACAAGAGAACTTCCTTTGTGCTTGCTTACATCACTAAACTATCAAGCTACATTTTTTTAACATATGCTTAAAGATACACTTCAAAATTTTATAAAATAATATTATGTAATATAATTAATGTATTGTATTTTTTATTTTTAATAAAATTGTGTTATATATTAAATTTATTGTGTATAATCACACAATATTAAAAATATATTTTTCTTTCTTTCTTTCGCTCTGTTCACCTCAGCTATTCTCTTCTCTTACTCACTCTGCCACACTGCTGCCCCACACGCACCCTAATAATATCACTTATATCTCCCCACTTTTTCTAAAGGAAAGTATTCATCTGAGTTTTAAAGTTCAGTTTAAAAATTAAAAGTTAATAATAATCAAATTTTATTAAAATAATTATTATATATTAAAATAGTAAATTTTGTAATATATTCTTATTTTTATTACAATTATTTTTTTTGTTTGTGTAGAAATACATGATAATATTTTTATAAAAAATTATTAAATATTATAAAATATAATATGTTAATAATATTAAATATTATTATTTCTTATTGTATAATGCATTTAGCATACCTAAAAAAATTATTAGAGAAATTATTTTATATTCTTGTAAAAAATTAGCTTTCTATACGATATTTAAAAATAATATATATTTTTCTAAAAAATTATAAAAATATAAAGTTTAAAAATTGCTAATGACGATATTTTAGTTTTATATTTTCATAATTCTCTCTAAAATTTTATAAAAACAAAATGATTATAAAACATAATTATGAAAATATAAAAATTATTTAATAAACATGTTTTAAAATAAAAATGATTATGCTAGTATTCAAGATGGTAAAAATATTTAGAATAAAATTTAAAATTTTTTTAAAATGTATAATTGTCAGATTTTAAGTTATAGCCAAACAATTAAATATGTTTTCAAGTTATTTTGTAGTTGTAAACTTTTGTAACAGTTAGTTTTATCAAATATTTTAATTTAATTACTTTTTAACTAACGCATCTGCTAATTTTGTCAAATATATTTTGTATGAAAAAATATAAAAGAAAATATATAAAATTATTGTTAAGGTGAGTAGAAAACCATCTGAGGATCACTTTTAGGGGACCCCTCCAATAAAGCTACTAAGGTGAGTAATGCCATAAAAAGGGGGGAAAATAATATTGTATTTATGCAGAAAGTATCAACAGTTCACCATGTCAATCATATTTTCTAGTCTTTTTCCTTGGAAATTTGTGGGTTGTCTTTTTATTTGGAGTTTAGATTACCAACTACATAATATTTTATTAATTAGTATCTTTACAATATTAATTAAAAAGTTAATATTCTTAATTATGCATTACAAACTAATATTTGTCGTGATCATGTTGAAAACAAATGGAAATATATACGAGGAATACAACTAGTAGAAAGACACATTGGAATCAGCTTTCTATTTTATGTATTGAAATACTATATATCGACTTCTAATTGGTCTAAAACAACTGCATAGCTTCCACACTATAAAGAGACATATCACACTCATCTTCACAGTTAAACTGCATGTGACAGAACATCAACTTGTGCTGATCTTGAACACACATATTCGCATTCTCGGTGCTACTTTTTTCAAAGATATATTTTAATTATTTTTCTTAAATGATTGGGAGAAAAAGAGAAAGTCACGAGTTGGGGAGGTGCGTGGAGCGTACAATAAGGGGGTTGGGGAGAGGGGAAATTTGGCGGTGGAAATAGCGTGGAGCAGTCACATGGGTGCGAACGACGGTGACGTCAGATTGACTTGGACGTGGAACGGTAAGATTGAACGGTGACGTAACCAAAAGTAAAAGGCCATCGTGTGTAGTAAAATGGACTGTGCTGACGTGGATGACAGAGAGAAGGGTTGTGGGCCCATTTTGGTGACATAACCATGGGAGAGGGTTATACTTTACTCGTCATCGTGACGTTCCGCATCTGACACGTGGCGGGATCTTTTACTTTCCTCCGGGTAGGGAGGTGCACCAAGGGGTTTGGGGCTCCCATGAAGGGGTGAGAAGCCAATCAGATGATGCCACGTGGTAGTCTTTTCTCTCTTGTGGGGTGTGGTCCCCACCATCATGAATCTCAGATGGCGAAGCTGCACCGTTGATGGTGCTAAACAAGTAAATGTGGTGTCTGCCATATGCTCAGTGATGACTTCCCGTTGCGTCATTCTTTTCATGGGCCCCTCCTACCTTTTCGCCATATATTTTAAATAAAGCTAAAGTATGAAACCCTTTTTTTAACTATGTATTTAAAAAAAAATATTATAATATTTAGTAATATTATTCAATTATATTTTCTGATTGAGTTTATTTTTTATTTTAAATCTTATATTCTTAATTTTATCATTATTATCTATGTGACTCTATAAAAAATAGATGTCATAAAAGTTAATTCGTAACATCTTTTAAATTAGCCATATTGCATAATAATTTAATAATAATTAAATATTAAATATGATATAGTTTAAATAAATATTTAATTTTTGCAATATATAGTAAAAAAAAAATGCTTAAACGCATGTTAAGAAACTAATATAAATAAAGAAAAGGCTTTTGTTTTAGACGTCAGATTTCACCTTCACCTTTTTGCTACCAACCCATGCCTGCCTATTTTTTAACTTAACTGCAATGTTATATATATGATTTTAATATTTTTTATTTAATTATTATTATTATTTTTTTAAATAATTAACTTATTTTAAAAAAATAATCAATAATTTAATAACAGATATTACTAACTTATAGAAATCAATAAAAAAATTCTTCTTATTAAATCATTTATAAATATAAATAATTAAAATTATAAAAACTAATAAAATGACAGATAAATTAAAATATAAAAAAAATATATTAAAATCACATGATATTACTGAATTTAATATATTCATAACATTAAATACTATAACTTTTAATAAAAATTAAGTATTATTTATTTTCTTATCATATGTCATGTACTGTAATATTTTTTATTTATATTTCTATATCAGTTATTCATCCATTCTCCATTTTCAAAGCAATTTCTCCACATGAGAATGATATAATAATTGAAGATTTTGTTAGAAATAGGTAGGAGCAATCTGCTACTTTCTAATTGTCAGATGATTGAAATTAAGCATTAGAATATTGATTTGCACGGTACGTGTGATGAGTGTTTAGTTAATTCCACGTTTGGATTTTTGTTATCATGTTTTCAAACTCACTTTTAATTAGGAGAAAAAGTTTTCAAGGAAAATATTTTACTTTATACTCAAATTCAGTCAAAATTAATTTTACAAATTAAAAATAATTCAAAATCAATTATGGGACGAATTAATTAATTATGAGATTAGTAAAAAAATTTCCTTTTCGGATAATTAGAATTCATTCTATGTGTAAAGATTTATCAAATTCAAAAAATCCTAATATGACTGTACTTCAAAAATTATTTTATTTAAAAATCGCTAATAATACATTTTTTTTTTCATTTTTTAAAAGTATTTTTTAATGCTTGATGCATCTCTTAAAAAGTTAAAATATTTGTAATTTAAACTGATTACTTCTATGTTTTGTTTTTCTAAGAAACGAGGTTCAAAGACCCAAACTGATCACTTCTGTTTTAACTTTTAAAATATTAATTAATTATATAAAATGTATTGTTAGCATTTTTATTTTATTTTATCTTTTTTTAAAATTAAACGAAGTGGACACTGGATTTAACTAGTAATTTTTGTTTACATTGCACTAGTATTATTAAACTAAAACACATATTTAATTACAAAAATTAAAAATATATTATATTTGTTTAAAATTTTTAAAATGAAATTTAAAAATATAAATGTCATATAGGAAAAGTTCTGTGATGTGATAAAATAAATAAATCTTATGAAATAATTATTTAAGATAATTTAATTAAAAATAAAATATAATTTAATAGATAAGGTGGATAAGGTATATTTTTGTACGAATTACAACACCAAAAGCATGCATGAAGTCCGAAGTGAAAAAATAGTGAGATATTGGGATAGTTATATAGTAATAATGTAGTGACCAAAATTGTTTTGGAGAAGAAAGGTGAATAGGATCCTTTCTGAACGTGTGAAGATGAAGAAAGTTGCATAGAATTAACTTTTGTGTACGTGAATTGGTGAATGAGAACATGATTGACGTTTGACGTGCCTTTACATGTTCACTTCAACCAAAACACGTCATATCTACCACTGTGCAATGCATTTTCTCCTATTTTTTTCTCTAATTTTTAATAACTCGGGAACGAAATGAGTAGCTCAATAGAAAACTAAATAAAGGATTGGGAGAGTGGATTCTGAAATCAGTGGGAATATTAAGAATGGACCAAAAGGGTTTTCCAATTCAATAAGTGATAATGAAAAATATTGACTTTTTATTATACATTTTTATCATAAAATTAAACGGTTAAATTAATTTTACACAATAAATTATGAAAGCTAAAAATGCATTAAGATGGGAAGATGTGACATATGATGGATGTTAATTTGGGAGACATTTATTGGGTAATGAAAACCTGTCGGCGCCGCGGAATGGATGATGAGTGGTTGACTGAGGGGTGATTGGTGGGAGTGACAGAGGGTGACGTAATGTGAAATAAGGGTGTCGTGTCAAAAGTGGGTCACTGTGACTTCATCCTCTGAATCTTTGTCGCAGCAATGCATAATAACTCTTAAGGGATACTGTTATTGTCATAGGTAAATAATACTACTACCTCTTACTCTGTCACTCTATTTCTACTGCTCTAGTACTTTTCTTTTAATTTATAAAAATATATAATAATTAAGTTATCAAATTTACTAATAAATTATTTTTATATCACATTAAAAAATTAAAATAATCAAATAAAAGTGAAAATGATACCAAAAATATATGTGTTATATATACACACACTAAAACTTGGTCCCAATCCTTAGCGAATAAGGATGATATTAGGAAGGTTAATGGGACATAAAAGGGAAAAATTAGAAAAGAATTGACTTTCTTAGGTTTCTTGGAGAATGGTGCACGCAATCAAAATTAAAGTGAATTAATTGGAAAACACTTGTCGATTACCTGTTTGTAAATCTCAAAGCTCACTTTATGGTTCTTTCCCCTCACCAGTTTTGCATTTGATAACATGTTTAAATAATACACACAGGGAAATTTTACAAATAAGTTATTATATACCCAAATCACCGTTCATGAATGTTCTTAATCATTAAATAAAACTAGTTAACTAAACCAATGCAATTTATTTTAGAACAAATAAATGTATAAAATTTAATAATTAAAAAACGCAATTTTGTATTTTATGAATACTTACTTAATAAAATTATTTTAAATGATATTTTAATATTTTGATTTAACTACATAACTGTAAATAATATATATTAAAATAATAAATATTTAATAAAATTAAATAATTTAAAATATAATTTATTTTAAAATAATACTTTTATTATATTGCATAAAAAATTAATTAAATATCAATAATTAATATATTAATAATTCTAACATAAATTTAGATATAAAAATCTTAAAAATAAATTGTAAATTATAAAAACATATAAATGAAGATATTTTATTAAAGATAAAAACAATTATTTATAAAAAATTAAATTTTATAAAAATAATAAAAAAAGTTAAGCAATAAATTATTAATAAAAAATTAAAATCATAACATAAGGAAATAGTATAATTGACCTAACATTATTGATAAGTTTGATTGTAAATATATACGACTGAAAGAAAGTAATTTTTTCTAATATTTTACTTCTTGAAATAATAGATTTTAATTTATAATATAAATATTTATAAGTATTTTAAATTTTAATTTGTTTAAAAAAATTATTATCATTATTATTATTATCATCTTAAAAACATTTAATATTATAAATATAAAATTTTAAATAATATAAAAATTATAAAGTCTTTATTCTCTTGCGTGCGCGCTTAAATATACGGTAATAGATAATACAAGATTAACACAAAAAAATTATTTTAAAAGTTTTTTTCCTTAAACCAGCAAAGAAAAGTAAGGAAGAAATAGTTATGAATATATTTAGTTTAATAAAAAAATTAAATATAGTAAAGTATACATATTTAACTGAAACAAAAATAAATAAATAAATAAATAAAATGTAAGTAATTTAAATTTAAGAGAAAATGTTAAATTATATTTTTTTTTAATGAGTACTAACAATTAATATTAAAGAAGAAAGAGTTCAATATAAAAATTAATTAGTTTAAGAAAGTTAAGTTTAAAAAAAAATAAAGACTTTTTTTTTCCCTCAGTTGAACTTTTCATTTGACATATACAATTTTTAAAAAATTATGAAAATCGAATTATACATTTTTAAAATATACAATTATCTCAAAGCATCTACATTTTTAAGTTGTTGTTATCATTATTATTATTATGAAATGTTATTTTTCAGTTACTCGTCTTTTACTGCTTTAGAATTTCTTATTTTATTTCAGACTGTTACTAGTAAATGTTATGTGTTTTTAACAGATATTTTAAAACTTGGACTAATTTATAAATTAAAAATGAAATTATTATCATGTACTACTGTATCAGTAAAAATTGTTGACATTTATAATAAATAACATAAATTTTATATTTATTATATATTTTAATTGGTAACAGTGTATAAATATATGATTAATTTTTTCAGAGAGAATACATTGAAAAAATTAGATCATTATAAAAACAGATTTAAAAGTAATTCCTTAAATGTATAAGATTCAAATATTTTGAATAGAAAAAGAAACTTTTGCTGTAAAAGTAAAAAAAATTGAAATTATAAGTCACTAAAATTTAAAGGAAACGAAAGAAAATATAATAAAGTTTAAAATAATTATTTTGAATAGTTTGAAAAACGAGTTTAGTCTAATAGTGAAATTACGCATATCAATGGGAAAGAAATAGAATAAAAGATTATCCTACTCTAAGGAATAAGCATGTTATTTTATTGCACAAAAGTAACTTATTCACATAAATATATAGCTTATACAATATATTCCATCAATTATATGGACTAATAATTGTGCTCTAATAGTTATTTTTATGCAATATGTTAACCAACAATGAACATGTGTAATGTTTCCCTTTAACATAGGAGAAAGTAGCTTTTGGAATATCTCCAATTAAAATTGGATAGTCGTCATCAATTGTCCAATTCAATCATATTAACATTGAATTCAAGATCCATCACATAAATTATTGGACCCATAAATAATTATATTTTTCTATTTAACATTGAATTTATTTGAGAATTGATTGGACCCATAAATCAATTTTTTTTCCCTCTTCCATCCTTTGAGTGGACAGCAAAAGTAAAGTGAGCACCATCAAGGGATTGGTTACCATGAAAGAGGCCATGCCTTAATTAGTTGAGCTTATTATCTATCTTTCTATCTATCTATCACAGTCACACAATGGGTGGAAGTGGAGGATTTTCTTTGTGCATTATTTACCACTCGTCTCTATGTTCTTCAAAGGGCTAAACAGTGGCATCAGATTCTTTGACCACACTTAACGTACCCCATAAGCTTAGTCTTCATTAATTATTTTCTAAATTCAATCTATTTTCCTCATATATTATCAGTTACTAGCTATACACCCCACATGCATGCCTCATATTTCATTTATTAATATTATTATATCAAGTTCGAAGAATGAAAAAGGTGTTCCTTGTTGTCAAAGGTTCATACATGCAAAGTACCAAATATTATTATATGATACCATAATAAACCTTCAAAGATTTTATTTGGATTTTTATGAATTTGCACTGCTGGAAACCCTTTCATCAAGGAACCATGTCCTCCCAGGCTTCATTGACCCTCCTTTCTTCGATTGCCCATTGATGTTAGAGCTGTGACGAAGATACTAATAAGCCAAAATAAAATTAAAAATTTAAGAAAATTAGTTTATAACTTTTTTAGTATAAAACCTCAAATTAAGTTTCTTTTAACAGATGCAGCTTTTTATTATGGACCGAATCTAGGTCCAAGCCCAATAAATGTGTGCAAGCCATATCACAATTATAACTCTTCCTTTTGCCCATTTTTTGTACATAGATTTTCTAACTTCCAAGTTTTTATATAAAATCATGACATTTACTCTCATCAACGTATTGAATTTTATAATATTTTATGACTTATAGACATGGATTCTCTAGTTTTAGCACGAATTGGATGGTCCAATTAAGTAAAATTTTATATTTTTGCTTAAGTTAAAAGTTTTGACTTAAACAAAAATACAAAATTAACTGACTAGACATCTAGTTCAAAAAAAAAAGATTCGAGTCTTAAGTTCTTATAATGTAGTTGTTAAAGAAATCATTTACATATGCTATTATTCTCAGAATTTTAACTAGGGCTTGAAAATGGTTCAACTACTTCTATCAGGGAAGAGTTGGGACACCATTTTGGATCTCAATGTGAACAGGTTTGATGTCTGTGATCGAATTCAAAAGTGAATAACTAGAGATCTTGAATTATGGGAAGCTAACATGATGTTGTATTAAAAAATAAATGCAAGTGTGAACACATTTTCACTTCAAAGGCTAGCTCACTTTAAAAGCATTATCTTTCTATTAAATTCAAGCACACGAAAAATAAGAGCAACCTCAATAAAATAACGAGTTAATTCATTGTTCAGCAGCTTAGTTAACACGCCTTCTGGTTTTTTGTGTCACATTATTTGAAGAATTCTGTGTGAAACAATAAAATAACGTTTCCATACCTAACCGTTTTTAATCCCTTGAACCCAAAAGTTGATTTTCACAGATCTTGATGTTAGCACTTAGAAAACTAGTAGATCATTTAGGGTGCTTAATGGGTGTTAATTTTACATGCATTGGATACGGTTTAAGCCCACTTATCTGTAATGTGCATGTTGATGAGTATTCGATTTTGGTTTTGGGTTCAACAAATTGTATGGGGCTAAACATAGTTTCAATATATTTCTGTAACATGAACTCATGCTATCAAGTGTCCATGAAGAGAAGCCCATTTCTTTCTTTTGCTGGGTACAAAAGGTGGTCCACTAATAAAATATACAATATGAGCTCATATTGTATATTTTATTAGTATATTTTATTAGTTTTTTAAAAATAATTAAAAAAAAACATAGTTTATAATGACTAATGACAATTCCTTTTTAAATTTTATATATTTTTATCACATTTTTTTAAATAGGTTTTTAAAATGAGTTTAAGATATAATATTTAAAAATTTTAAATTAAAATAGAAACAAATAAGCTTTAATTTTTCAACCTTTTAGTTTTGAAAATTTTCGTAAGAGGCAATCCCTCGTTCACCTAAAATTTGTTAAAAAATAAATGAATAAATAAAAACACATGTTTTTCCCTCTCTAGAAATTTCCAGCTCCACCGCCATAGGATGACTTCTCTCTAGAATCTTCTTGCCACCCACTACCAACACAAATCTAAGTTCAGAACACAAACTTCGTAAACAATCTTAGGATTCCCTCACACACCAAACCTTGCAACCTTTTATAGCGCATGCATTCAAAATAGTCACAAATAATAATAATAATAATAAAATTCTTACTTTAACTCACAATACAAATTAAAAAGCAAGGACATGTATTTTTTTCTTTTGATTTGCCACTCAAAACCTTCATTCTTCTTTTAATTAGACTCAAGCATTGATAGATGGAGATAATTAGAGTGAAAGAGGAAGAAACAGCGACATGTGCAGATGCAACTGGTTGTTCATCATCAACCTCATCAGGTTCATCAAGCTTTATCCCACAGCCTATGGAAGGGTTGCATGAAGTGGGTCCCCCTCCGTTTTTGTGCAAGACCTTTGAAATGGTGGAAGATCCATTCACGGACTCCATTGTGTCATGGAGCACATCTCGCAACAGCTTTGTGGTTTGGGACTCTCACAAGTTCTCTACCAACATTCTTCCTCGTTACTTCAAGCACACCAATTTTTCCAGCTTCATTCGCCAGCTCAACACCTATGTAAGTACAATTTCAGTATTTTTTTACTCTGCGTGCATGGTTTTGTGTTTGAGTTTTGAGGATTTTCTTATTTATTTGTTTGTTTTTATTTTATTGATCTTAGTTTTCAGTCCCCTATTTAAATCTTTTATTTTGATAAGTTCTGATAATTGGGTAATGGGTTTGTCTAAGTTTCCCAACGGGATAAATAACTCCATCTTAAGAAGTTTTAAAATTTTTAATTCAATGTCTTAATTTCATTATATTAGGCTTGAAACAATATCACCGCATAAACACTCTTGGCTAATCATGTGCCCAAATATATTCTGACTTCTAATTTCTTGCCATAAAATGTGATGATATATTAGTTTCATTTGGATTCATCTCTTTTATGATGAGAGATTCCTTTAAGAGAGATTAGTGTGGAATTTACTTGTAGATTAAATTAACAATGATTGAGATCTAAATAATTACAAAAATTCTAATTCTTATACATGTACATGCATTTATTTTGATCAATATTGATTTTCAGCCCCCTTTATGCAAATCTTATATTTCGATAAGTTTTGATAATCCTGCTAAACGAAGGTTAGGATAACTACCCATTTTGGTCCTAAAAAATGTATACGTGTCTTCAATTTGATACCAAAATCATAAATATTCCGAAATGGGTCACTGTGATTTGATGCAAACAAAGAAATGACATTGAAGCACTACTTTGATGTCAGAAATTAACAAAGGATTATTTTGATGTATTGAATAATCAGAATGGGTGCTATGTCTCAAGTTTTATGTAGTTTGGACAAGAGATAGTTGACTAGTATCTGTTTATTGACTATTAGTTGAATATGGTTTTCTAGAGTTGATCTTGATCACATGTTGAAAGCCTTACATTGATAGTTGACCAACATCCTTCAGCTTCTGATTTGATTCATCTTTGTAATCTTCCCTTTTCATTGCATGGAAATGTCCACAGGGATTTAGGAAAGTTGATCCTGATCAATGGGAATTTGCGAATGAAGGTTTTTTAGCTGGACAAAGGCACTTATTGAAGACTATTAGGAGAAGAAAAAATGTATCACATGGTATGCAACAAAGAGGAGGGGATGGAGCTTGTGTCGAAGTGGGTGAGTTTGGATTGGAAGGTGAGTTGGAGAGGTTGAAGCGAGACAGGAATGTGTTGATGGCAGAAATTGTGAGGTTGAGGCAACAACAGATAAACTCGAGGGACCAATTGAGTGCCATGGAGGGCAGATTGCAAGCCACAGAGAAGAAACAACAACAGATGATGACTTTCCTTGCCAAAGCACTGAGCAATCCTTCATTCACGCAGCAATTAGTCCATAAAACCCCTGAAAATAGACACGTGTTGGGTGTTGAAATCAATAGGAAGAGGAGACTAACTTCTAGCACAAGTGTGGAGAACTTGCAACATGATGATCCTATAACATTGGTGGACTATTCAAATCTAAGCCATGAAAAAGAATTGGAAACTAATTTTTACTCAGAAGCATATGATAGTGAACTTCACGGTGAGATCAAGGAGCCCGGATCAAGTTCGGTTATGACAATGGGTAGTGGGAGTGATTTTGGTTTAGATGAGGATACAATCTTGGAGGACTTGCTTAACAAAGACTTGGTTACTGGGAATCCAGAGGATGAAATTATAATTGGTAATGTTTCACAAGTTGATGTGCCAGTGGAGGATTTGGTAGCTAAACCTGATGATTGGAGTGAACAATTTTAGGACCTTGTGGATGATCATATGGACTATCTTGGGTCCAAATCATAGAAGGATAAGAGGCATAGTACAATATAATTAACCATGTCCTCATCTTGGTCTCTTCTTTGATTTCATTCACATTGCATCATGGTGGTACATCTTGATTATTTTGTTACTACTATTTTTGGTTTCAATTTTATGTAAATGTAGTTGATAAATATGAATGGTTTTTATGCAGCATGGAAGGTGGTAGTTGAAGAAGGAGCCAACAGATACTGCTCTTATTTGGATCCTCTATTAACTAGACAAGTTTTATGAATTATGAATATTCTTGTGTTAATGCTACTATTTTATTTTATTTTGTTTTGATGACCTGTTTGTTTATATTTTTATGTTTTGTTCTGCAGGAGAAATCAAGTTGGGGTATTTAAAGGTTTTTATCCAAATAATTTACTGAAAAAGGTAGTGGTATCATTCAGCTGCATAGGTTCATTGGCTGGATCTTCACTTTTTATGAGGTTGAAAAACTATCCTATAGTTCTGGTACCAATGGCCTTTCAATGGAACAACATTTGATATTGTTGGTACTTTCATTTTCCTATTAATAAGTGATTGCCCTCTCTACATAAATTGTTGATAACTGGTGCAATTTTGTCTCCTCTGTATTAACGGCATAGTTCTTTTTATAAGAAATGACAGGGTGTATTTTTCCGTCATAATTATATAAAATATAGATTCATCTTTAGGTGTACTAATTATTAATTCTTATTCTTTATTTAAGATAATGTTATTATGAATTTAATCAATCAATATAAAACAGACAATAGACTCAGTTTTGTATTTATATAGTATTTGTAGAAAGATTAAATTCATGGCATAATCTGGATTAGTTTGTCACATGAAGTTAATCTTTCGCTTGGTTGAATTATGCAATTAGGACTGGTTGAGTATTTTCTTATACTGAAAAAAGTATTTTTAGGATCTGTATATATAAAAAATAAAGGAGAGAGATAAAACTCAAAATATATATGGCGAATAGGTTTGACTAAATCAATATGTGGAATAGCTTTCAAATGCTAATATTAGACTTTTGCAAAATGCATTAGACTCTTCAATGAATTCATGCTTTTTTTTCACGTGTTTTATTTGTCTTCTGACTATGATTCTAATAATCGAATATCATGAATCGTTAAATTGAATATATACAACACTTATTAGTCTGGATAAAATAATGAACGGAAGCAAAACTTCAGTTCTACAAGAAAATAATAATAATAATAATTAGTGTCTTCCACCAAAGCAAAGCATAAAAGTTGCATGAATGATTGTCACTGCAATTTGGATGGAAAGGGAACTTGGTCCCGTTCATGTCCTTTTCCAACTCATTGACTCGTATGAGAAAAGGACAAAATTAGCAAAAGAATTATAAAAAACACTATGAAATGTAGCAAATGCGGTTGTCAAACAACAAAGTGAGACACTGAATTGTGAGAAATTAAGAGAGTAAAATTTAAAAAAACGGATCAAGGAGAAGCCAAGTAAAGTGTAAGTAAAAGGTCCAACCCTATGAGAGTGAACAAGTAGATCATAATCACGTCCTTCTTAATTATTTATGTTGATATTTACATCTTGTAAAATGATGTTTGGAAATCACACAATTCGAGTTGTTTGTCAGATTTCTTCCCCTATAAATTCGAGAAAAGAATGCATACCCTTCTTAAACAATGTTGTGGAGTTTATATAACTGACCCAACCCAAATTTGAAATTGGGCTAGGCCCTTGCACTAGTCCTTAAGAGTGTCTGTGGTTTAATTTGAATCATAGGTAAGTTTGGATTAGCACGAATATAATATCAAGATGCATTGTAACTACACGTTTTTGCATTATGATAAAATGGTCACTTTCATAAATACATGGATACAATTTTATGATAAAAGTCCACTAGGAAGATATTGATAATATTCAGATGGATAACTACACCTGAACTGTGAAGCAAGTGAGTTACATTCTATGATCTTATCCACAAATAGTTATCAGCATCACGAAATCTATGGAAGGTTCATGTTGATTCTGAATACAATTATGAAGGTTGATTCAAAGTTAGGCCTAGAGTTACTAGTATGATATTCATATTATCATTATCGTGTTGATGAGATTTGGTTCTCTTATGAGTTTGGTGCTTGTCCCTTACCAAATTGGAATAGTATGTGAATATGTACATGAATATGGCATATAGTGCGCTGTGCGATTCTGCTGAAAATGCACCCATTTCTCCGCATGCACGAGACCACCCTATCTTTTCACTTTCAAACAATGACGCATAATCTCCATTACTTTCTCCATTTTACAAATACCACATTTCTTAAATAAAGAATATATCTCTGTGACTGAGAATCCATTAACGCTTCCATCATGTCCTGTCCAACTTACATCATTTTATGACATTTCATCGACGTTTAATTTTATTACTTTAGTAATTACATTCGGACTCTCATTAAGTTTTTAAATTATTCTATGATTTTAGTGTTGTATATATTTCAAAAAATTAAATATTAATTATACGGTTCTATGAATATTAACTTTTAATTTACTTAAAGTGTGCTAGATAAAATTAGAAAGATAATAATTTGATCAAACTTAAATTAAAATAATAAAATATTTAATGTAGTATTCAGTAGATCGAAAAGAACAAAAAATAAATTTGAATATAGATTATAATAAAGAAAAGGGAACGTATTGGGTACAGATGAATCTAATTGCGTATATCATCATCATTCACAAACAGACAAAACACCATCCCCACTCTTTGTGTAGTGTTCCTCATCCTCTCCCCATTCCTACCTCAATATAAACCCCCCACCCATGAAATGAGACTACAGCCAAACCCACCCTTCCATTTCAGGAACTAAAGCCTCACCCTCTTTCTCTTGGTATACGCATGCTAACATAAAAATGGTGTTCACAGAATTTGAATGGTTGTTTCATATTCCATGTGTCCCTTCTCTTTTAGCAATATTATTCACCCTCCTAGCTTTAGTAGGAGGATTATTGGGTTATCTCTATGGGCCCTATTGGGGTCTAAGGAAAGTTCCAGGCCCACCATCCCTGCCACTTGTAGGACACCTTCCCTTGCTGGCTAAGTATGGCCCTGATGTGTTCTCAGTCCTTGCCAAGGAATATGGCCCAATCTACAGGTTTCTTCTTCCTTACAATTACATAATATATAATACAAATAATTATTTTTCTCATGTGTTTAATGATGCACAATAAAAGTTAATGTATAGTAATTTTCATTAAAATTTATAAGATATCACAAAATTTAATGTGTTAATAATATTAAATGTTATGACTTTTAATAAAAAATATATATTACTTTTTTATTGTGAAGCATTACAAAAATGGTAGAAATAAAACCATGTTGTATAATCAAGGTACTTGGTACATCAGAGTCAGGTTGTTATGCTGGTCTTTCTTTTCTTTTCCTTCTCTCAATGAGAAGCCAAAAGGTGTCACTGTTGGGGTGATATTTTCAATTTGAATACATGAAATTCCAAAAAGCCTTAAAACACTCCTTTTGGTTGTGGAAGATCTTTGGTCGAGTAATGATGGCAGCTATATATCGTTGACTTTTGAAGGGTATTAACATTAACATTATCACATTATGGTGGTGGGTCAGTGTTTTAGTGCATATTGCTAAGGAAGAACAAGATATAAATTGGAAAAAGGTTCACATTCTCATGTAATCTATTTGTCCTCGTTTGGTAATTGTTTTATCAATATGACAAAGGCCCAGCATCAATAAATTTTATCAAATATTTAATAAATTGAACTGAGCAACTGATATAAATATTATTTACCTCAATTTATTAACATCCTTAATAACTGTGGCTGATTGATCTTATATCCAACAGATAAAAGCGTGGTTATTAATATGCTAAATGTATATGGAAAACTTTTCTTTCTTTTTGCAGATGAATTATTAAAACAAATTATTTATATTAAAGTAAGTTTAATTCTGATATATTATCACTATATTTTTTATATTATTAATCAATTAAAATATTATCAATATAATTTTTATTTAATTATTCTTGTTAATGTAATAATTTATAATTAAATAATAACATAAAAGCTATCGAACTTAAAGAAATTAAAGATGAGAAAAGAAGACAAAGGGAAAGATGAATATGAATAAGTATGATTTCATGTATCATTCTCATAAACTATTTTATCAGCCGCCAGTTATGTTTAATAATAACTTAAAAATCTAATGTGAAATCAGCACAATATATGATCATTGCAACTTTATCTCATGCTTATCAAGCCATCTAAAAAAATTTGCCTTTTTCCCTTCTTACCTATTTTGTTTCTTTCTTCCATGATTTTCACACTGCTACTGTGTATGGTGCCGTTCCTATTTGTTTAATGGAGCAGATTTCATATGGGAAGACAACCACTAATCTTGGTAGCAGATCCAGAGCTTTGTAAAGAGGTGGGAATAAAAAAATTCAAAGACATTCCAAACAGAAGCATTCCCTCTCCCATTTCTGCTTCTCCTCTTCACCAAAAAGGACTCTTCTTCACCAGGTTTGCAATTTTTTCCTTGTGACATTAGCATAAAAAATAATAATTTTTTATGAGATAAGTTATTATTCAATGAGTCTAGTAGAAAAGGTAAATGAAAATTGTGACATAAGGGTTTCATAATATTCTTTTGAATATTCTTTTTAATACACTTCTACCAGATAACTTTTTTGAAAAAAGCCAAAATATTTTTAAAAAATGTCAAATAATATGTTACAAACATTTTTAATATATTTTCTCCAATATTTTTATAAAAAATAAAATGTAGTTAAATGTTATAAATTTATAATCTATTACTAAAATACTTATATTATTAAATGATCAAAATTAGTGAATTATATGTTAAATGATTAAATACATTTACTTATATAAATAAACAACGAGTGTATGTTAACATAATTTTTATAATAAATGAAGTATTAAAAAATTTAACAATTAATATATTTTAAAAAAAATATTTTAAAGAATAATAAAAAAACTAATAATTATTTCTTTAAAAATATCATATAAAGTATTTTCCTAACATGAATTTTAGAAATAATAATTCTTGTTAAAGTCACATTTAATAGAAACAATATATACATAAAAATGTATTCTAGATAATTAAATTTCTATGAAAATACAAGTTAACATCAATAACCTTTTTTTGCGAAAATTTATGTAAAATTTCGAGAATTTAATTTATACAGCTTTTCTTTACAACGAAGAAGAGATAACAAGAAAATCAAAAAAAGTATAAACAAAATAGGTAATATAATAATAAAAAAAGGTAAAGTGGAAGAAAAAAAGTTGTAAATAAGGGTTGTAAAAAGAGTATAAAAAATAAAATAACTCTAAAATCAAACACTGTGCCTGAAAATACAGTATTTGTTTACTTAGCAATGCTGTTTTGTTGTTTTCATGTGGATCTAGGTGGGGTAGCATAGCCACTAAGTAGGTTGTCAATTCCATTTTGTGGTCGTGCTCATGTTAATAATTTGAGAAGCCCAGATTCGTTGTAGTCCAATGGTTCTTCAAAATCTTTGTCCTTAAATGAAAATCAGTGATTGACATACAAAATCTCAACACACAAAATAAAATTTGATCATGCAATGATGATTTGCAGGGACTCACGATGGTCAACCATGAGAAACACCATATTGTCTGTGTACCAGCCATCACACTTAGCTAGCTTAGTGCCTACAATGCAATCATTTATAGAATCTACCACACAAAATCTTGACACCCCAAAGGATGACATAATCTTTTCCAATCTTTCCCTTAGGCTAGCTACTGATGTGATTGGAGAGGCAGCATTTGGTGTTAACTTTGGCCTCTCTAAGCCTCATTCAGTTTATGAATCAATCAAGAGTGTTAACAACAACAATGTACGGGATAATAAAGGTTATGATAGTAACAGTGATGATGAAGTATCCGATTTTATCAACCAACACATTTACTCAACAACACAGCTTAAGATGGATTTGTCTGGTTCCTTTTCCATCATACTTGGTCTAGTTGCACCAATACTTCAAGAGCCATTTAGGCAAATTTTGAAGAGAATACCAGGTACCATGGATTGGAAAATAGAGCGTACTAATGAAAAATTGAGTGGTCGTCTTGATGAGATTGTTAAAAAGAGAATGGAAGATAAGAAAAGGACTTCAAAAAACTTCTTGTCACTCATTCTTAATGCAAGAGAATCAAGGACAGTATCAGAAAATGTCTTCTCACCTGATTACATTAGTGCTGTTACCTATGAGCACTTACTTGCTGGGTCAGCTACCACATCCTTTACCTTGTCATCTATTGTATATTTGGTTGCCGGGCACCTAGAAGTTGAAAAAAAGTTGCTGCTAGAGATTGATGGATTTGGTCCAGTTGATAGGATACCTACTGCTCAAGATCTTCATGATAGTTTCCCTTATCTTGATCAGGTAAAGTAAAACCTGATGAAGTAAGTTTTGTACTTGTGTACTTTGAAGTTACAAGGGCCAACCATGCAAATATATATTTGATTCTCTTTTTTCAATTATTGTAGGTGATTAAAGAGGCCATGAGGTTTTACACTGTCTCCCCATTGGTTGCAAGAGAAACATCAAATGAGGTAGAGATAGGAGGTTACCTTCTTCCAAAGGTATATGTAATAAACATCTTGATAACATTTGAAGGGATGATAGTACGTAATTTTCTTTCAAGTATTTATATAAAAATTCAAAGTTACCTTTTGTGTGGTTACAATTATTATAAAAAAAAAAACTTTTTATTTCAGTGAGTAGTTATATTTTAATTTATTTTTAAAAAAATATTCAAAACAACTTCTCTAAAAAAATAAAATCAGATTATTTTCAGTTTATGATTTTTTTCAAAATTTTAATTAAACAGTCTAAAAGCCTAAAAAAGTAATTAATTTTTTTAAAACTGTGTTTTTTTATGTGAAAAAAACTTAAACAAAAGGACTGTATATTTACTATGGAGATATTGATGTAGTTTTATATGAGCAGGGGACATGGGTTTGGCTAGCACTTGGAGTTCTAGCTAAAGACCCAAGGAACTTTCCTGAGCCAGAGAAGTTCAAACCAGAGAGGTTTGATCCCAAATGTGAAGAAATGAAACGAAGGCATCCTTATTCATTCATACCATTTGGAATTGGTCCCCGGGCTTGTATTGGTCAGAAATTTGCCCTACAAGAAATCAAGCTTACTCTCATTCATTTATACAGAAAATATGTGTTTCGTCATTCACTAAACATGGAAAAACCTATAGAACTGGAATATGGTATGGTCCTCAACTTCAAGCACGGTGTCAAGCTTAGAGTCATAAGAAGAACTTAGTACAGTGAGTAGCTATATGTAAACCAGCTAGATTGTACTTGTCATGGTGCAGTGGATGAATTAAAAACCTCTCTTGAACATATTGATTCTAAGCAAGGCAAAATATGCTAATCCAAACACTTTTTTAATGTGCTGAGATCTAAGTAAACAAACAATCTTATTACAATATAACTTATTCAAGTTTATGAACGAAAAATGTATCTTATCTTCGAAAATGTTTACAACAGCATATTTTTTGCCAAATTGTTGACTTTCTCCCTTTAATTATATATAGTTGCAGTCTTGCAATCTCTTGGTTGAATTGGATATATCAGAATAACCACAAAAATCAACTGATTATACAAATGGAGACCCCTCAAGTAGTATTGCTTAGGAAAGCACAAAAGCTGTAATTAAATTACATTCCAGGGAACAAGAAGATGTTGAAGTGTTGAACTTTTTGCAAATCATAATACACAAGATCAATTCCATCAAGTATCTCTCATCTTGGCCTCTTATCCAAGTAGTTTGGTAAGTAAAGAGGCCTAGAAAAGTTGATTGAAGGGTCATAATCAGCAATGCTTTTGGAATCCCCATTAGATAAAATTGCTGTCCTTTTGAGAAACTGAAACTCATCCATGGATTTCTGCCTCTGAGCTCTATTATATTCATGATTATTCATTCTTTGCTTTGCCTTGGTTGACTCAGTCAGGTTCATGTAACTAGGCCTAGTGTTATTACCGTCCTCTACCCTATCATAAGCCAATGCAACATTCCCAGATATTGGCGTTGTAGATGTGCAAATTGAAGATGAAACAGAACTCTCATCATACTGAAAATCAGAACTTGGACTTGAGGATGATCTAGTGGCTTGGCCAACATGGGAAGGTCTAGCAGAAATCCTTGTGGTGACATTGTTCTTTCTAACTTTGACTGAGAATGGTTCTGATGTTTTTGAATTTGAGGAGTTCACACATTTCTTTGGAGGTGGTGGAGTGGTCTTATCTGAGGTATCAACATTGGTTGTTTGCTCCATTAATCTACTCTCCCATGGCTTAGCTGCCATCCAACGTTCCAACCAACTCCATCCCCAGTTAGCTTTGTCTATTTGGTGGTTGTTGAGAGAGGAAAATGAGGCATTTGCTCTTGAATTTGAAATGGGGGTTGATCTCCATTGCTGCAAAAATGCTAGTCATTAAACATTTTGTCAAGCAGGAATAAAAAGTTACCAATTAAACTACTTCCTCAAGTTATGAGCATCAATCAATTTAACCCTTTAAATTATAAAAATATTAATTTAATCTATGAAATTATCGAGCAACGGTCATTTTATTCCAAGTTATAAAATATGGTCATTTTAATCTCTAAAATTAATCAAATTATAACAATAAAAGTTCAAAAGGCCTATATTTGACAATTTTGGATTTAAAATGACATTTTTTTATAATTTCAGAAATTAAATTAACTAATACTAAAATGATTTTTATAATGTATGTTTAAGAACACACAATAATTAATAGATAGTAAATTTTTATTATATATTATACCATTTAACATTCTCAATGCATTAAATTAAATTTTAATAGAAATTACTGCATATAAATCCTTATTACGTGTAAAATCGATACTTATAATTTCAAAGATAAAAAAAGGGTATATTAACGAAAGTTGGTGTGTTACCTTATGGGCTAGAGAGTAGGCAAGCGCTCTCTCTCTCTTGAAAGCCCCTTCTTGCCTCATTTGTAATTTTGTCTTAACATCTGCCAATGTTCCTTTGCTATCACACCACCCTTCCTGCATGCACCCAAAACATGTTCCTTAAAAATTAGTGTTCTACTGCAAATGAATTTGTAACATAATAAAATAATGCATCTTGCATGAATATTAATAATAATTGCTCCTTAGAAATTATGAAACCTCGGCTTCTTTCAAGAGATCAGCATTGGTGCGGCGTTGATGGAGCATGTTTTGCACAGCTTGGCCTTCTAAGGACATTCGAACACGACGAGCTCTTACTCGTGCTTGAACACCAACCAAGGCCTGCATGCACCTCAATGTCACTGCAGCTTGTTTCCTCACTAGTCTTCCTCGTACAAGAGCTTGAAGCCTCACCACTCCCTTCAACGCCCTCAATGCCCTTCTTGCCTGCAATTGTAACAAGACCCAATTCACGACAACACCTTTTAGTTATCCAGGACAAACAATGCTTAGTTATAGAACGCATTCTTCTTTCTTACACAATATTCAAATACTTCCAACACATTTAAATCATTAAACTAATTAAGAAAAATTATTGATAAGCATATCTTAAAAAATACAACTTAATTAAACACTTATCCAGGAAATATATATGACCCGAGAACACAAAAATATCACAAATTTTAAAAATCACAAGACCCAGTATCATTACCATATAATATATAAAAAATTAAAATAAGAATTTTAAATTACAGAAAAAATAATACTTTAAAAAATAAATATGAATCACGATAGACATAATTAAATGTTAAAAATTATCTAATTACTATAATTAACGCATTAGAAAGTATTTGAAGTAGTGTGTCTAACAAAGACACTTATCTAACTTGCAGTGTGTCTTACATAATCACAATGCAACAGAAGCATAATAATAATTACTTCTTAGATGGGTCCTTTGAGAGAAGCTCTATGAAAGATAAAGCAATTAATTACATTGATAAAGCAAGAATAAATGTTAATTCGGAATCATCAATATATTGAATGCAGTGAATGAAGAATACCAAGAAGGCGCGAAAAGCGGTTTGGATTCTGGTAGCAGCCCATTCTTGCTTGACGAGTTTGAAATCCTTAGGTGCAGCTCTGACCACAGTGGCCACTGCGGCGTTGAATGAATGAGATTGGTTTCCTCTGATTTCACTTGAACAAGAACTCTTCCATAACCTCCACCTCTTGCTCTTCACACCCTTCTACGTTGTTAATAATTGCTACCATAAGATAATTATTGAAAATTGCTACCATATTTAATGCTATTAAGTCACTTACTTGTTCATCCTTGTTGTCTGGGCTCTTCTTAAGACCGATTAATGCTTTTACCCATTTTCCAGATGCACCCATTTTGCTCTGATCAATGTGCTTTCAAGTTGGAGGGAGCCAAAAATTAAATCCAATCATACAAGAGTGGCAATAATGAAATAATCAACGATGTTGGGGGCAGAAACAGAGAGAGGAAAAGAAGTGGGTTGTGTGTGTGTCGTGGTCGTTTCCGAGATTTGAAATTCAAAACGTGCAAAAGACAAAACGTGTTGCGTTCATTCCTCTCCCGCTCGATCACACGTCGTCGTTTAGTTCCATTTTGGAATTCCCACTACGTGTGGGCCCCAGGTCCTTTCGGGAAAGAAAAAAAACTGAAAAACCGTATAAAGTTGTTTTAACCGTAGTTATGGCAGGGGAAGTACTCCAAGAGATTTTGGAACGCAAGAAAGCAAACTAAAATGATTAATTTTAAATTATTTTATCTCTTATTTTTAATAATTTCTTAATTATTAAATAAATAAAATAATTAATAAAGTTCAAGTAAAATAAATATTCGGGTCACACAGCATTTAATTTAATTCATTTAATAAATTCAGTTTATGATTAAACTGTTACGGAAAAATAATAATTAAATTAAAACCTTTTTTTTCTATCAATAATGACTTGAAGTTAATTAAAAAATACATTCAATTGTTTTATTTTTATTAAAAGTATTATAAAGAATTTTACCGTACTTATTTTAAAATTTGTTTATGTAATAAACAAATAAGTGTGTTAACCATTTAACCAAATTTAGTTTAGGGAATGTTTTTCCTTATTTTGAGTTTATAGATGCCCCCTCCTCTCTTCCCCCTTTTTTAAGCGTGAATGCTGGTGACACTTATTTTCTTAGGACTGTAAACTAATTTTTTTATTTTATTTTTTTTTGGTCTTTGACCCTATTTGATTAGAAAAAAATAAAAAATTTGTTTATGTAATGAATTAAAAGAAAATAAAAAATAAGTTTTAAAATAATAATTACTTTAAGAATAGATTTGAAAGTCAAAACTAACTCTATTTTAAAATAAATAAAATTAACTAAAGAGAATATTTTTTGGAGACAAAACAGTAGTTTTTTAAACAAGTTAATTTATTTAATCTGTGATCAAAGATACATGTTAAAAAGATATTAAATACATTTCATTAAATAATTTTTATTATATTTTTAAAATAATAAATATTTTTATATTTATTAAAATTTAAAAAATATATTAATTTAGAAGTGAAAAAATGAGACTCACGTAATTTTTTAGATTTGTAAAAAAAATTTATATATTTAATAATAAAAAATATTAAAATAAGTTAAAAATTATTTTCATAAACTTCGGCAATTCGTTTATTTTAGATATATCTAACTACAAAAGTAAATCTCTCTCTCTCTCTCTCTCTCTCTCTCTCTCTCTCTATATATATATATATATATATATATATATATATATATATATATATATATATATATACTGCAAGAAATCACAATTCATCTAGTCAAAAATCTTGCTTTCTGAGTTTTGGCAAATGATTTTAAATCAAAGGAGTAAAAATAACAATAAAAATAAAATAAAACAAAAGTTAAGAGCATGGTACTATCAAATACAACATCTTTCGAGGCACAATCACAAAGCTAAAGTGATAAAGAAAACCCTTTCAATTCCAAATTTGGAACAACATTTCAATTATTAAAAAAAAAATAAAAAATGCAGCTAACCTTATTTTAGAACCTCAAGACCATCTCCTTCCAATTGTTGATACGCCTCTTTCAAAGGAAGAAATTATTGGGAGCAGAAGAAAAAAAAAAGAGAGAGAGAGACAAAGAAGGTATATATTTAGGGCCGGCACTCAACAAAAGAGATAAAATGAATGAGTAAATACACACCAAAGAGACAAAAAAACATATTGATATAATTAATCAATTTTCTTAATATTACAAGTTTACCATTGCCTTTTCAATATTTTTATTTTCATATTTTTACAACAAACACCAATTTTTTATTTATGTTTTAAGTTGTATTTTGAAAATTTTTCAAAGCCAATATTTTTTAAAAATAAAACAAAAAGACATTCATCATTTTTTTTTAATTTTCAATAGAAATAAAAAAAAATGGCCTAACCCATGTTTGGAAGGTCTAAATTAAAATTAATTTTGACTGAATTGTATTTTTTTTTATTAAGTTAAAAATTTTATGCTGTATTTTATAACAAATTTACTTTCAAAAGAAAATTTTAAACGTAAATTAGATCAATTTAAACTCATTTTTTTAAAAAAGATTTAATTTATAAAACTAAGTTCAAATTTACAAGTATTTACTCAAACATATACTATATCTATTTAACATGATTTTTAAAATATAAATGTATTTTCAAATACACATGGTAATTTCAAGGGATTAATTGAGTAAAACAAGGCAGAATTTCACATTTGGTAGGCAACAATTTGAACCTTCACTCATCTTCTTTGAATGAGATAAATATAAGTCTTTTATAAGTATTCTATAAGCTTTGACAAATTTATTTAGCTTAAAATGTGGCACAATTAAATAGAATATGGTTAGACTGTCGCAAAATATGCTATGAAATTGAGTTTATAAGTTAAGAAAATTGAAACACTTACGATTTATACATAATTATTTCAAATAATTAATCATTAAAATATGAGAGGATACACATAAGTAATTTACAAAAATATAAAATAATTGTAAAATCCATGCATAGCACAAAATAAATTTGTTGGTATTTTGTGTTTTTTTTTCCCCCTCAAAAGCATATGTAAGATTTTGGCTTTTCCCATGACGAGAGGGAAAAGAAAAAGACAGAGAAGTAAAAGATTAAACAGTTGAATCATTGGATTGAAAGAGAGAAAAAGAAAAAGATGAAAAGAAAATAAAAAACAAAAAGTTTGTGTTATCATGAGAACAAGAGAGTAAAAGGAACCTAACCTAACCTAAATGGGTGTGGTCCAGTAGTTAATTCTGGAGTTCAAACTTTTAAAACACTTGTAATGAAGTGGTTACTGCCCCGAACATGGTAATTGGATGCTTGAATTTCTGCATCAAACTTTAAGACAATAAAGTAAAAAGTGAATGGATCATGTCTTATTAGAGACACAAAAAGAGACCTGCATAATTCAGAGTCAATTTGAAGTTTATATACATGAGAAAGTTCCATATCGAGTGTAAGTGTAACTATCTAAATGCTTATATACCCAATTGAATTGTAGCACAACGCATATTAGTGCAAGATGGATACTAATATATCTGTATTTATATAATTTTTAAGGCATTCATCCATATTTAGACCTAAATTTATTAATAAGCATTTACATTATCTGTTAGATATATATATATATATATATATATATATATATATTTTATCAGTATCAAAAAGATATAAGATCCATTGCCACCTTCATTTCCTAATTTTTGAATGAAAATTTTGAACTGAGGTAAAGATAATGCTCCGGGGAAGATATCAGCTAATTGTTATTGGGTCTTTACATGATATTAGCAATGTACTCACGAATAAAGGGATAGTTGACAATGACAATTAACATTAACGGGTGTTTAGAGTGTTCATTATGAGGTGGGTTAGACAAAAAGCGGATGTCAGCTTAGTTATCCCAAAATAACAGATGCACCTCAAAATTATAATATAGTAGGTTAATTTCTAAGAAATGAAGGAATTACTAAAGGAAATACAAAGAAAGTAGAGGACCAACGGAAATCAATGCATGCAAATGCAATTGGCATCTACATGAGCATTTTAATTGTGCATTAATATCAGGTAGTAATATTATATAGCTGATCATGTTTCTAAATTCTAACTCAAAATTTCTGGACTTGGGCAGCTTCACAGAAAACTGTTGCCTTCAACACAGCGATCGAAGATCTTGCACACATAAACACACCGGCAAATTTTACAGTATTCTATGAAAAAAGAGAGTATTTTGTATTTTTTTACATATAAAATAATTATGATTATTAATTTTATATCAATAGATAATAAGGTTAGTAATTTATTTTAAAGAAATAAAAATACTTTTTAATTTATAATATATTAAAAAAATTATAGTCGATAATTTAGATAAATATACAATTTCCCCTCAAATTTAAGAACACATAACTAATAAAAGCATATTAGTACTTAGATTTCAGTCATTGAGACAAAGGTATTTGTCTAACTTTGTATCGCTCTAAATATTTCTACGTAGTGTATATTCTAGCCACTTATATACAAGAGAGCTATCTTTAACTATTGTTGAGCTGAACATGAGTGAAAAAGTTATACATTAAATAAAAATAATAAAGTTCAACAACATAAATAATAAAATATTACGATTTAATAGATTAAAGATTTTGCATCAAATATAGTATTTAAATTTATTTATATAATTTACACGTCACTCATTGATGCAGATTTTAAAAATATTTTAGCCTCCTTCAATTCCATAACAATTATCATATCCAAGCTTGTTAATCAAAGTAAAAAAGAGTTTAATTTTTCAAAATTAGGTCACTTAATCATCTCAAATAAATAAAATAAGTGCTAAAATTGATCTAAAATATTCCGATGGAATGTGAGGTTTACGGAATAAGGGATTAAAATTAAAAAAAAAAATCACTAATTATTCAAATATGACAAAAAGGATAATATAACATGAAGAAACAGTCCTGTAAATTGCCCCTTCATACTGGATTTGATTGAAGAGTCAAATTGTTATTGATTACTTCTTCATGGGGTTGGGGTATAGAGAGTGCATCATCAGAAGGAATTTGAGACCATTCCTTAGAAAGTGCATTTGAGGTAGACTTTCTAGGATGGTACGCTGAGATTTTCTTCCCATTTCTCTCATAGATGATAGCATTCTCTTCTTCATCAGGCACACACTTGCCCCCTAGTATAATTGTTTTCATCCACACAGACTCATTGGTTGTTTTCAACTTCATTTTCTTGCCTTCATAATTTTCCTCCTTGTGATTCCAGTTTCTTGCCATGGACGAACTCCTTCGCATCTTGTGGCTCATGTTAAGAGATAGCCTACGTTCAGAAGCTGCT